ATATCAAAGCATTTGGGGAAAACAGAGGCATTTCCCTCCACTTAAGACAAAGAAGGAAAGATGTACGTGGCTACGTTCTTCAATATGGTTCACATCCTTAGGAAAAAAAAAATCGCCGTGCTTCCATCTTCATAGCCTGTGCCCTCTCCTTTTTCTGGGAAGAGAAGGAATACAGGAAGCTGTAGGTGGGTGGGAGGGGCATGTGGAATGTGAAGAAATAGCAGAGGACGTAGTGTGTCTAGAGAGAAAAAAGGGAGAAGGAAACTTCTACATAGATAAGCAAAACAAGACACTCTAGCAAGAGGCTGCAGTTTTGGGTTCCTGATGTAGAACTGACTCATTTTAAATCTCCAGAATTAAAGCTGAAGGAGAACAACCCCATCTGTCTCTTCTCAAATTATTTCCTTTACCAATACTACCTTCTTTTGTCTTCAGACTGTGAACTGCCAGTGCTTTGTGCTTCATCCTTATAATTATACACGTTAGTGCTGAAAGGTTCCTCAGAGACCATGTAGACGAGGGATAGCACCTTGTGTCATGGCTGGTCAATGAGAAGTGTGGTTGAAGCTCTGTGTTGAGAAGGGATCCGAGGCCCAGTCTGTACTCAGTTGGGAGGGTGCTGGGATCCATTAATTCTGGGATCAGCTAATGCTGTCTGCACGGGGCTGGGGTGGGGCTGAGAGGGAGTAATCTAAGTGGCACCATCCAAGCTAAGAGCGTGAGACTCTCATTTAATTTGGGAGGGGGGTGGTGGGACTCAGAGACATCAAACCAGTTGCCAAAAGCCACAGAGCTATTTATTTTTTAAAAAAGTTTCAGGATTAGAAAAAGAACGATGATTTTGAGGATTAACCATCCTGAAAATAAATTAGCATTTAGGATGGAAAATAAATATTCCTGAAGCCTTTTGTTAGATACATTATCCACATTGCTGGGAGCTCTGACGGGTCCTCTCCAGAGCCAAGCATGCACAAAAGCCTGGGGCCCATCTCACCGATTTCAGAGGCGTTTCAAAGTCTATAATATCAGAGGCTGACTATTTCTTCCAGGAGAAATCTTTTCTTACTGCTTGGATGAAGGGATAAAGAACTACAAAGAGATTTAAAGTGTTATTTGCTTAGGATAACGGACATTTATTTGAATTTAACTTTAGAATCTTTTACATGACAGCTCACTTAACATCATTTTTTAAAAGTTCTTTTTACAGTCTATTGAATAAAAGTTCACGATGGGATTTGAACATGGCTTTAACTAATCATGGAAGCAGACAGGAGTCTCCTTTCCAGAATAAATAGCATATTATAGCAAATCCAAGTCAAAGACTTAAATCCCTCATCAGAGCCAAGCTGTGGTGACCTGCTTTGAGGGAACTTGGGCCTCCAAACCTCTCTCCTACTTGCCTGAGAATTTACTATTAAACATTCAGAAGTTCTTTTTGAAAATACTAATATTCTCGGGTGATATGCCATTTCAAATTCGTTGTTCGTTAATAATGAAGAAAGAAGGAAAAGCTAGCAGTGAGGGGAAGGGATTTGTTACTATCTGTGGGAGAAGAGAAGGGAGTGGGAGGGATAATGGTCCCCAGAGAGCAGCTACAGAAGTTTTGCAGCCCAAAGATGGAGTTCATTGTCTCAAGACTCCTTCTGACTCCAGAATGTTCCACTGACCTTAGGCCTTAGCTACCTGAAGACACAATCATTGACATTAAGTAGCTGAAGAAAACTAGCCTCAGAAATAAGGTCTCAAGATGCCTTTGGAAAACAGAAAAGAAAGAAGAAAAACAATGTAAGAAAGTGTAGGAGTGCCTCTTCTCCAACATTCCTGAGAGAAGATGGGAGTTGAAAACCTCAAACAAAATGTTTGCCCCATCTCACTTGGCTAATTTTAGTTATCTTGGTTCATGGCTATGATTCAGCCCTAAAGCTGTGAATTGCTGAGGAGGAAGGAGGAAAAAAAATGGACTTAAATGTCAAAGAAGTAGGAACAAAAATATAGTTTTCTTTTTTGGGGAACTAGAATTCCAGGATATGGGGATCTTTTTTCTTATGAGGGATGGAATGCTTCGAACTAGAAAAATAATGAGCTCCAGTCAAAACATCGTCAAGAAAGAAAAGAATGGATGATGAGTTATGTCATGTCCGAATTTTTGCTTTCCTAGTATATTCCCCCTTTTTCCCTTGTGTACCTCTTGAAATCTCATTAAACTAGACATCACTGAGACACCTATGTTGTTGAGTATGATGGAAGCTTAATATGTGGACCGTAAGGGGAAAGGGAGCTCCTGGAGCAGATGAGGGAGAAATGAATGGAGACAAACAGACTATGACAAATAAGTCTGGGGGAGGTGATGGTAGCACAGGGAAGAAAGGCGTGTTTGAATGACGGTGAGCTGTTGTCTTGCCAACTAAAGAATAGAGGGTGACAGAGATGGTTTGGTGAAACTCCATCCTTAGAAAAGAAAAAACGTTTTTCAGTGTAGTAGGTGTCCCCTAGTAAATTGGGTACCATTTGGAATTTCCATAGGTTTGGAGGAAGAAAAGCACAGTCACTACTCTAATACTCAGGTACCTGACCTTTCTACCATCAGTTTAGCCACTATCTGTGTGTTCACCTTTTTCTGCTCTTCAAACTTCTGAACAGTAAAAAAATATATATAGGATGGTTGTAAAAACAGGCTCCAGGACATTAAAGGAAGATAACATCAGGTGGAAGCAAAATGAAAGAGTTCCAGTGACTTCAGAGCAGATTCCCCACAGCCCTGAAGCTAATAAGGAGATGGGTCCAAGACTCAATGGTGCAAGTTGATTTCTGCACCTCCCCTGTCCTCAGCCTCCTTAGAGCACTCCCCGCACCCTCCCCTGTGGCTCTGCTCTTTTCTGTTCTCCTAGGCCCTGGTAGGACTCGAGCAGCAGGACTCATTGTATCTCATCCCCCACAACCCAAAGTGTCATGCATCTGATGTGACATGCATCCCAATAGGTAAATGAATGGGATATAAAGGGGGTGGAAGGGACTCTGGAAGTTGCAGAATCCCACTGCTTGGTTTGCATTTGAGGATACTGAGATCTTGAGGGTCCAAGTGAATTTCTTGCCCAAAGCATCCCCATTTTTTTTGCATCTTCTAGAAGATGTCAGTTAACACCACGGCTGTGACTACCTTTAATTGCCTCTAGGGGAGAGATATTCTAAAGTTCACAGAAGATACTTACTTCCCAGAAGGTTCCTTGCCACACACCCCACCCCCCCCCCCCCCGCCCAGTTTTCACACCACCTCGGCCCACTGCCATTATTACAAATCCAGTTCTTTTCAGACTGGCTCAGTTCTTTTCTGAGCCTCTGTGAGGGGTGCCACAGTGCAATGAAGACCCGATTGTACTTTCCATTTCTGTGATCAACTGTTACCTTGTGTGGCAGGGTTAGGGGTTACATAGTATTTCCCACACTGATATGTCAAAGTCCTAAATTTAATACCTGTGAACATGACCTTGTCTGGAAATAGGGTCTTTGCAGATTTAATCAAGTTAAAAACGAGGTCATTATTGATCCAATATGACTGACGTCATAAGAAGACAACCGCGCGAAGACACGGAAAGTAGAAGGCCAGGTGACGACAGAGGCGGAAATCAAAGTGCCGTAGTTGCGAGCCAAGGAATGCCAAGGGTGGCCGGACACAGCCAGAAGCTAGGAAGAGGCAACGAGGGATTATTCTTTCCAGGTTCAGAAGGAGCGTGGCCCTGACAATACCTTGATTTCAGACTTCCAGCTTCCAGAACTGTGAGATAATAAATCTGTACTCTTTCAAGTTCATGGTACCTGGTCATGGCAACACTAGGAAACTATCACCTGCAGTAATAAAGGCAAAGAGGAAGGGTAACCAGAAGCCGAAGGAAAGAAAGAGCTGCTTTTCTTGGGTTGGTTTACTAATGTCACTGGTATTCATTTTTCATTGAAATGACCCACAGTGGTTCCACACGATCCTCTGAAAAAAAGTTCATGAGGGGACCCTCTCTGTCACTTCTTTAAAATATAATATATTGATAGTTTGCTATTTGAATACATTTCCATGATAGAAGTCAGCTGTTTTTTAGTATTCTGGGTTTTAATAATCTAGTTTCTTCTCCTCAATCTGATGGATTTGGTCTTTTTTCTGTTTTATTTACTTTGCCTTTTAATATTTTATTTTGTAACGCCATATAAATGCACGGATAGTAATATGTATTTCCTCAAAATATGGAATCAAAGGCACTTAAGAATACTAATTACCCATAATACTTTTTTTAGTCCAAATGATGTTCCCCACGATGATCTGTTCCAAGGCTCTGATTTGCTCTCCAGAAATAATATTAACAATTAAATCAGGCCTTACAATAATCAGTTTCAGTAGTTTCTTTTGTAATGCTGTTCTGTTTACAAATAGCACACACTGAAGTAAGGACTATTTAGAACCATATTTTTCAAAACAAACAAAAATTTTTAAGGTCTTACAAATTATAATATGCATCGAGTGTCCAAGTTTAAAAACATCTGTCAAGAATTTTCACATATTACCCCATTTTTAAGTATAGCCACATTCTATAACCTTCTCCAAGATAATCTACTCTATTACTCAATCATCTGAAAAATTCAAGAGTTTTTTAAGGAAGCATTGCCCCATAGATTTTGTGGCTAAACAACATCCAAGAGTGGGGATACACAGATATCCTCATTGGTCAGAAATCTTAATTCTTTTTAGGGGCCATTCTGGATCATTGCAAACTCTTTTGGAAGGTTGGGGGCTCAGCTTATGCTCTATGCAGGGCGCAGCTGGATGCCTGTGTCTTTGAAGGCACTGGGATGTATGAGTCAGACCCAAGGTCAAAATCAATAGAACATTCAATACCTCACAGTGCTCCATCTGTGGGGTGTTTTCTGCCCCATTTACGCTAGAAGTGGCAAGAATGGATCGTAGGTGATGATACAGGGGGCCGGGCTACCGGAAGTAGAGCGTGGGAAACACTTACTTGAGTGTGGTGAGTTCTGTAAGGGATGGCTGAGTAGCCTTGAGATAGCTTTCCCTTCGCGCAGCAACTTTGGGAGAAGGCTTGGGGCTGGTGTCCGAGTCCCCGCTGTCTTCATCTCCCATGGCCTTGATGTAACTGCCGCTCCGCATTCTGCGGCAGGGAATTTCATCATCTTTACCTCGAGGGGTGTACCCTGTCCATTCATCCTGAGGGACCTATGCAGATACAAAACAGACAGTTCATGCTTTATACAAGTCTATCTTCTTCTTTTCTTTCCTGACTGTGAATATGGGTAATACGGGTAATTATGTAAAACTTTAGGCATTAACTTTTCAACCATAGTGTTTTACCATAATTGGTCTGAAAATATTTTGAATACATGCACATCTATGTCTCAAGCTTTGAAAGAACCTGGGTACTGGGAAAAAGTATAACCATTTGATTCACTTCTCCGTTTTCTCACGCTGAAAATGATTGTCAGGCATACGGGTGCCGGTGGAAAGCGGTTTTATTAGAGCTTTTCAATGGTTTGTTTTCAGTTGTTATTTAAAAATCAGAAATGTTTCTCCTTTGCCTTCCCTGCATCTTCCATCTCTAGCATATTGTATCCATAGTGCTTCCTCCTAACCCAGTGGTCTACACCAGATGCATTCGCTTCCCAAGCACCGATTCTTTCTGAATCCTCTTAATTTGAATTCAGCCTCCATAGAGTGCTTGAAACACTCTCTGAAGGTTTCCAATGATCTCCTCATGAAAGCTAGTGGCACTTTCTTAATTGAAATTTTTCTTGGCCTCTTCACACACACACACACACACACACACACACACTCACACACACTCAAAACGCCTCTTAAGAGTCTCTCCCCTTTTGGCTTTCTGGTTACTCTACTTACCTGAGTTACCCACTACTTATCTGGATTGTTCTTTCCCTCTAGCTTTGCTGGATCCTGCTCCAAGTCCCTAATTGTGGGGACCCCTCAAGACAACGTTCTCAGCACGCTGTTCGTTTTTCTTTCTACAGTCATTTCCTTTGAGTTCAGCAGGGCACTGCACTGTGCTACAGAGGGCTTCTTTCTGACCTTATTTTCAGTTCTTAGATTCCCCAGTTCAACATGGACCCAACCTAGGGTCTCATATCTCCTCCATTTGGTAAAAGAAATGCACAATAATGGCCACTCTTTGTATCCATTAAGAAGTAACAAACATCCTACGTACTGTGCACAGCACGCTGCACAGGGCTTAATTAAAAGAGACCAGAAAATGGGGAGGCTGGTTCTTGGCCTCAACAGAGGTGAGAAGACAGAGCATACAAAAATTTGGCAACAGTTCCAAGTCAACGTGTTAGCAAGTTTAAGATGGGGTGCTGTAGATGGACTATGCACTAAGGAGACACTAGGAACAGGAGTTATCAGTAATGGTGATAGGGAAGGAGGATCCAGGAAGGACTCCTGAGAACTGGCCAGGTTTGCACTGAGAAGGTAAAAAGGTATTGACTATTTTCATGCTAACTATTCACTGATTATCCATTAAATGATGCCATGTTTCATTATTAACACTGAACTCGGCTAAGAAATTTGCTTACAGGATCTTGTTTCATCGATGCAACAACTCCGTGTATTTTTCTGTATTTCTCGGAGGAGAAGCAGAAGCTCAGAGAGCTTAAGAAATTTGCCAAAGACACATAACTAATAAATGGCAGCACTAGGGTCCAAAGCATTTTAACTCAAAGATGAGTGTTTAGTCAATCTAAGATTTATGATTAATAACATACACATTTTAAATCTAAAGTGTTAACTGTCCACAATGATACACACACAGAGTAGACGTCGATTTTTAAACATTATCGGTTCTAGGAACTGAGGACAGACATTCCACTAAAAGCACTACGCTTTCCCCCTTAATTTATACATTTATCTATATAATTTGAAAACGTATATCTAGAAACATCAGACTGAAGAGATGCTACTATTCCTGGACCTGAAAACAGTGGTTGGTAGGTTCTAATGCTGAAAACTACCAATGAAGTTTGGTTAGGCTTCACCATACAGCTTATTTTATTTAACAAACTCTTAAATCATGCTTCCTATGTGCAGGCACTGTTCTAAAGGCTTTATACAGGTTAACTCATTTGATCCACACAGCTAAGGGCACTATTATTATCCCCATTTTACAAATGAGGAACCTGAGGTTATGTAACTCGCCCAACGTCCCAGCTACAAAGGGGCAGAGTTCCAGCCCAGCAGCTCCTGGGGTCTTGCCATGACCATATCTGATGCTGTCTCTCTCTGTATGATCTTGTGGCACCTACAGAACTGAACAACTATAGTCCCATGACACCTTTGTCATCCATCACGTCTGATCCATTTGCCATTTATTAATTATGGTAGTAGCAATGTAGAGTTTTTGCTTTTTTAGCTAAAAACCCATCCACATCACCATAGCAACAGGGAGACTTCTTAGGGAAATTATAAATGCTGAGAACAGTCTTGTTTTCCTTCCATTGGCAGGTGAGTCACTGCAAAGATATGATCATACTCAGAACCTCATTATTGGCTCAGTAATTACATCTTATAAATTAAGTTGGTACAGCTGAGGGTCACAGAGGAGGCAGCCAATGCTTGCCATTTCTCAGTACTGATGCACAGCTCATAAGTGTCGCTCTCTGAACTATGTCAGAGACCAATGACAACTTATAAGCTCATAATGCTTATGAAACAAAACATGGCAAATTTTTCTTTAGGTGTTTTGTTTTTTTTCAAAGTTAGTTTATGGTAGAAACTTGGTCTTATACTAGAAACAGGCTGCAACTGTTGCTAAGGGAACCAGCTGGGAAGTATTTAATGTGTATATGTTTCAATTAAACATATTTTTCAAATGATATCAGCTAAGAAGTTTATGGAAGTGATTTGCTTTGGAATGGGTTTTAAAAATCAATACATTATTCCTACACTGAAAGGTAGCCTACAATAAATTACATGTAAAATAATACAGAAATTAGCTCCAGGAAAAATGTAAAGAAACAGAACCTCAAGACTTTGGAGAAGAAAAATACTGCTGCTGAACAATAAGGGCCAGCAAAGTCGCTATAATTTGAGCCACAGTTTTTATTATGTCTCTTAAATTTGAAAGCAAAAGAGGAGGCAGTGGTTGGTTACATTGTTTTCAAGGAAAGCATACCAGTTTGTTTAGGGGCCAGGGCATGAAATGTTACTCCCTTTCCATTGAAAAGAAAGGCGAGTCATGTGCTGCAGCTACTATTGTGATCTAGTCAGGGTTGCTGTGTCTTTCTGTGTCAGTTGCACAGAGAGAAAAGATTGAGGCAAATCCAAAGAAAAAACTAACCTTGCAGCGGTCTGAGAAAACCTTCCTATTACTGGTCCTAGTGGTTAGGGGAACGGAAGTCTTTGTAAGAAAGGGAGGCTGGAGCAGATAAAGGAGCAGCCTGGGCACCTGTTGATGACAGGCAAGCCAGATGTCCTGCTTGCCTTCACGAGCTTCCTGGGGCGGTTAGACCCAGTAAACGTTAAAGAAACAGCAATAAAATCAGTCTAATAAAGCTTAGGGTTTAACAACAGTATGGGTTAGAGAAAAAGAGGACTATTTGTTTTTTAATGCGTATGTTTAAGCATGAAACTCCAGTGGAGAACTTTATTTTTGAGAGAAAAAAATGAGGATTAGTGTGCATTTTTCTATTTTGGGGATAGCCAGGCTGTAACTTAAACCATATGTCATGGCTCAGGAGTAAAAAGACCTATCTTTGACAAGGAAGGACCATAACCAGGTGCTATCATCCTCTAATTACAGGATGAAGATGCTGTCTTAGTTGAAATAGTGTCATGGGCACTGAATGATGGGCCATCCTAATGCAACAAGAGAAAATTAATACCACCTAATGGTGGCATGCTTACATTTTCTGTCTCCCTCTTTGCCTCACTCCTTGTCTGCCTCCCCTCTTCCTTCACTTTTGCAAGGTTTTTTTTCTTTTCTTTTTTCCAGAGAAGGCAGGATTTATTACTTGCAGCAAGTAAGGAAAACACCTGCTTTCCCAAAGCGGTGTCTCTGCAAGTATTTTTTGCTTGTTCATTTTCAAGCCATGGTCTGGGTGCCGGGAATGTGCAGGCAGTGAACCATACAAACGTTGATCCCAGGTTGTGGAGCTTACATTGCAGAAGGAGAGCAGGAAGAGATGGATGATAGACAAGTATACCCATAAATGAACAAGACGATTTCAGAAACCATAAATGCCATTAGGAAAATAAGATGGGGTGATGTGACAAAGGGGTTGGAGGAGAACTCCTTTAACGTGTTCCTCAGCGAAGCCACTGGGAAGAGGTAACATCTACGAGGAGATCAGTTCCGACCAAAGGAGCCAACCTGGAGGAGAGCTGGGGAAGTGCTTCCAGGCAGAAGGATCAGCCAGTGCAAAGTCTCTAGAGTAGGGATAAGCTTTGTGTGTAACTGAAGCCTAGGAAGAAGACGCCATTGTGGCGGGAGAGTCCTGACCAAGAGGGAAATGCCAGGAGAGGCTGGGGAGGTGGGACCAGGTCACACAGGCTCTTGTAAACCCATCTCAAATCTTCCTTCAAGCGGAACTCAGCAATCCCAAAGCTCCCTCCAACTGCTCCAGCCTAAATCCAACTCCTTTATGAAATCTATAGCATGTACCATCTACATAAGGGGTCAGCCAACTGTAGCTCATGGGTGAAATCCAGCTTGCCGTCTGCCTTTGTAAATAAAGTTTTATTGGCACACAGTCATGTCCACTCATTACGTATTGACTGTGGCTGCTTTTAAATTAGAAGGGCAGAGTTGTATGGTTGTGGTGGAGACGGTATGGACCCTAACCTGATCCACAGATTCCTTCTAAGTACTTAAGTTGCATAATCCTACAATGGCATTTATAGATATGACTTGTTTTCTGTGTCTTTGTGTCATCTCTCCAATGGCTCCGTAAGCTTGCTGAAACTGGGGGAAGCCATACTGCTGAAGGGTTAGGGGCTTGGGCTCTGCAACCAGCTTGTCCAGGTTTGGGTTTCCGCTGGACCACTAAGTAGGGACATCCATGGGCTCATTAATTAAATTCTCTGTGCCTCAGTTTCCTTGTCTGTTTCCTACCCCATAAAGTTATACATGGATTAAATGAGGTAATGACCACGAGCACACAGGAAGAGCTCAATAAAGGTCTGTTTTATGGGAGTTCTGCACTCGGCACACA